AGTTATTACCTGCGTCCCTCCACTGTTTACAGATGGAGACTGAAAGGTGCAGGGGAAAACAATAGAGCAAGTGAGAAGCCGCTTCCCCCTGGAGGAGGCATGGCCCCGGTGCCCTCCAGGTGCCACGCTGCTGCAGAAGGGAAATGCTTAGGCAACAAGAGATGAGGGAGGCGGCCACCTCTGCCTGTTCCCTGCTCCCTTCAAGCACTCGGGCTGATGTGAATGTGGAGTAAATTGATCCCCACAATGAGCAGTGTTGCATGTGTTGTGGGCTAGGGGCTCGAACATCAGACTGCCTGCCATCGCATTCGCGTCCACACTTCCCAGGTCTGTCTCCCTCAGCTGAGGCTTGTCTGTGATGCATCAGCTGAGGCTTGCTCGTCCGTGATGCAGGGGCGATTCTGGGGCTCATCTTATAAGGATTTCCTGGGGCCTGGATGGGATAATCCACATAAAGCACTTACTGCAGAAAGCAGCTCATTGATTGTTGGCTTTCCTCAATCATTTCCTCAATCAATCAATAACTTTATTGCTAAGTTATTATTTTTATTATTAACTAAGATATATTCTCAGTGGAGCCAAAAAAGGGGGAGAGGGAAAAGAGAAACCTAATCTACATCAAATATAACAGTATTTAAAAAGAAAAGTTTAACTTCCCTTGTATGTTTCCAAAATGGTGGACTGTAGCTTGCACTCATCAAGTTTGGAAGTTCATCTCTGGTACCTTCTCTTTCAGCCCCACCTTCCTCAGAGGTGGGGACCCCTAACAGCTCTCGGATACTCGCTCATCGTTTTAATCAGAAAAGCTTTGGGCAAGCTGAGGGCTGGCTTCTCACCAAAACGTCATCACCTTGTTTTGTTGTCATCTGTTTACCACCATGGCTGCTTTCTACGTATGGCAAGTAATACTGGTTTTCTACTTGGGGAACTGATATAATGTTTCTTCCTAAAATAAACTTATCTAAGTGAAACCCTAAATTGATTTAAATAAAAATATTACCTAAATAATAGTGCTGGCAGGACACCTATTTGGTGACGCGCATGGGAATACTCACAACACTCCCACCAGCTCTGAGGTTTGCTCCAATTCAGGACAAGACAAGCAAGGCAAGCGCAGAACGTGACACGTTGTCCCAAAGTCAGGCCTTCAGACCCACCCCAATTTGCTGAAATTCAAATCAAATACTCAGCCTCAGTGTTCTAGACTGGACAGAAGAGAGACCACACACGGTAGCTAGAAGAGGTCAATGCATTCACCTTTTTCCCTTTAGACCAGCAGCCACAGGAAGGATTTTGACCAGAGAAAAGCCGAGTCACAGAGAGAGAGATGCTACACCAAAGAGGAAACGGGTGGGAAGACAGCACAGCACCAGGGAGACATGACTGTTGTTCTGATGACAATATTAGAGGCAATTTAGTTACAACCTCTCTGGGTTCATCCCCGAAGCCCAATCCCTCCCCCACCCACAACCCCAGCCAGATAGCAGTTTTCTCAGGAAAGAGCATGTTAGCAGCATGAAGAGAACCTGCTGGTGAGATGAGGTGAAATCTCAGGAAGAATGGGCTTTTCTACAAACGCATCCTTGGGTGTCAGTTGATGTTGGTTTTTATCTCTTTTGCTTCCTAGCTGCTGATCCTGTACTGGCGGGGGCGCTGCAGAGCCTCTGCCTGGACAGCCCTGCAGGCTAGAGGTCAGCTTGAGGAGCAGCACAGGTGGACCCAGGCATCGGCAGTCTGGCTGCAGCGTCCATCACCCAGGGTTGTCCAGGCCAATTCCCTCCTCATGGAAGCATCGTTTCTTGACAGTGCAGGCTGCCTGGGAAATGGTGGCCTCTTCAGAGAAGAGGGCAAGATGCAGGCCTCATCCTCCTCCCTTGGATGTGCTCTAATTCTCCTCCTTCCATGCACATGCTCTCTGACCCGATTCCCAGGAGCAGCGAGTGGAGTAATGCCAGGTGAGCAGCTGTCTGGACAGAACAAGTCTGGTCCTGTCCTGGGAACCACCAGTGTGGGCCTTTGGTCCAAAGAGACAATCAACTAATCAAGTTTGCTTCTGAGTCTACCTCAGCAAAGGAGACCCTTTTCTTGGCAATTTCAAAGCTCCTATACCCACAATTGCTGTTTGTTCCATGGTCAGGGGTGTACGTGACCTCTATAGACACCATTCATGGACGGACTCACAGAAGCATATCCAGAGTATCCAGAAGCTATGGACCAGTGACATGGTGAGAATTAATGTCCAACCTACATTGGATCCCTGTTGCATCCAGATTGCCCTTTAAGATGGTAGATCTGCCACTGAGAAATAATATCCATATATATATAAGCCTAAGTGACTGAACCACTAAATGACTGGTCGCTATGATGCATACTGACCACCAGGGGGGAGACACTTAATGCGTATGTGATCACACCCCACAAGGGGTGGTCAGTGCACTCACAACAGGAGTACCATTCAGCTGACCCACCCATCCCGGCGGCCCACCAGCCTGGTGGCAGCCACTCACTCCCTCAGTAGTCCTGTAGGTCCAATCTCTAGAGAATGGGCCAGGCACCAATGGACCAGCACCCCTGGCACAATCCCGACAGTGCTGCCAGCCTCCTGCAAGTTGGCCTCGGGCACTGCGGCCACTTCCCCTCCCTAGAATCTCCACAAGGAAGAAACAATATAAAAGCAGCTGTCAGGTGGCTCCCAACAACAGGCACAGACGTCAGCAGGACAGATCTGGATCCTGGGCCAGCAAGGGCATCCTACTGCCTGCCCAGAGGACCGATAATGTCCCCCCACTCCCCCCTTTCCCCCTTAGGAAAGGTGCCAATCAGGTCTGATTGGGTGTGAGCTCAAGCAGGTGCAGCAGGGCCGGGATGAGCAGGAGTGGCAGGCGGCATTGGACTGCCAGTTTCAGCCCAATCCCCGCAGGCCACGCCGAGGGACCCCACCTGTGCACGAATTTGTGCTCCGGGCCTCTAGTGTCACATAAATAAACATGCTTGCTAAGATCCTGGGAAAAGAAGCATTTTGCAGGGGGAAATCCAATTGTATTTATGTATCTGTGTGTGCACATACGCACTTAGTAATAGATCCTACTGACTTAGGATCTAGGGTGTTAGACAAAGTTCACCAGTTGCCTCGAAGCACAAGAACTATTCCTCCTCACTGTGAGCTGGTTCTGGTGAGCGCTTAGTCTTTCCCTAAAAAGTTCTTTGTGAATCCAGGAGAGCAGAAGCCACATTCAGAGAGCACGTGGAGAACTATGGGCCCCCAATTCCACTCATCTCTGCCTCTACCATTAAAAAAAAATAATAATAAAAGTGAAGAAAGGCAAGCAACAGTCAGGAGGCTTATTAATCCTCAGCATGGGGGAGGGTCCCATTGGTGGGGGACCAACTAGCCCCGTGTGCCGGTTACTAAAAGGTTTCTTGGGAGGTGGGACTTTCTGTGCTAAAACCAGAGTGGCTGCTCACCCTAGTCCTATGTGGAGTCTGACCATCCTTCTTACCATTCCTGGGACAGAGAGAAAAGGGAGAGGCAATGGATTTTGCCCTCATGGGTGAAATAGGGGGTGAGGAGGCAATGTGGCTTCTGAGATCACTCAGGAAAGAAAGCAGGATAAACAGACCAAGTGGATGGTCAAGGGGAGCTGGTGAGGTTAGAAAGGTCTGGCGTACCTTTGCCTTGTGGGGTGTGATCACATATGCACCTCATCATCACCCCCATTTTCTGTTCAATGGGCTCCTGTATGGACCAACAAGCAATCCTTTCTATAGGGTTTTTATCAGCAACCAAAAGAAAGGCAACCGAGCCTCAGCCTGGCAGCATTCACCCTAAGATAAAGTAATGTGGTAGTAACTTGGACATCAGGGAAGCTTCTACATAGGAGCTTGGAGAAGGAGGGATGCTGGGAAAATGTAGGAACGCGGTAGCACAGTAACTTCCCAGTCAGGGGTCTATGCGGCTTCCAAGGAAGCAAGTTGGTCTGGGGCTCTGTCTTCGCCAAAAGAGCCAGTGGCCTTGACGCAGCACAGGACCCTGAAAGCCACTCAACCAATGACAGCAACTGTGTATTGTTCCCCAAATCGGAACAGCAGGACCATTCTCAATTGACATTCTGGGTAAAGGCTCGGGCCCTTTTCGCATTGCCGTGGAAGGGTAGCGAATCAGGATTCATTCCAAATGACTCAAAGCCAGTCTGCCAAGGAGAGAACGTCACCTTTAAACAGATGTGCACACCAGTCCAGCTCCAAACAGAGCTGGTAGTAGATATGAAACCAAATCCTAAGCAGAGTTCCCAGGGTCTATACCCCCCAACATATGACAAGAAAAAAAATGCTCATGTCTATAAACCAAAAAGCATTGATGCTTCTCTTGTCAGCACTTCAGATGAACCTCTTGGCATTGCTGTCAACCTAATTTTGTTAAAAGAGCCTTGATGAACTCATCCATCAAAGCATGTCCAGAAGCAGATGGCCAGAATGGAGAGAAAAACTGGAGCTGTTGAGAGTAGGAAGAATTGAAAGGGTGAGTGGGCGGCAGATCACTGTCTCCTACCAGCTAAGGGTTCGTAAGAGGAAAAGGTGGCCAACAGTATGGCCCCATCGGAACAGGGACAGAGCCGAGAGCCAACAAAGGAAAGAACCTCCTTTAATTAGAGCTTCCCTAAGGCAGAAGGAACTGCATCAGGCGGTAGTGAGCTCCTGTCCCTGGGGGTGTGCAAGCAGAGATCGACCGACTTCCAGGGATGCTGTGAAGGATGCTACTCCTGCGTTGGGTGGGAGGCTGGATCTGACGATGCTTGAAGTCCCTTCTCAACTCTGTGATCCTCCATGCTCTGGCCTTAGGTCCAGTCCAACACGGATGGTCCTCCATGACCTTCCCTGGGCCCTGGGGCCGCTTTCTCATACCTCACTAGTGGTGATGAGGGTCAGAAGAGGTGCCAGGGTGTCCTGTTCATGCAGACACAAATGGGGATGAATGGCTTAGCTGAGAGCCATGTCCTCAATCAGAAGCATGATTCCAGGGACTCTGGGTCAGTGTGTATGGGCAGTTTCTCGAGTTCCTGGTGATGCCCACTGTGCAGAACTGTGTACCTAGGGAGGAAGGAAAGCAAGCATGAGAACTCAATAGGCCCCTTTCAAATACACCTAGGAGAGCACTTCCACTGATCCTCATTTTCTTTCTACTGCTCACTTCTGAGAGCATGCTGTCTGTGGGGCTGCAGGGGGGAGGAAGGGAGCATGAATTTGAGGCAGGGGTACTTCCTCAAAATAAGGTCCAAAGAAATTCATCCACACTGCTCATTTTAGAGATGAGGGACAGAAGGCCTGGAGAGAACAGAAGGCCCACACTTGTGGCAGAGCTGGGACGAGGCCTCAGATTCTTTCCTCCCTGCAAAGCCTGGGGCTCTCGTGTTACTCACCAAAATGGACCCTATGTACCACCCCCAGCTCCACTGGCACATCTCTGCCAGGGACTGTTCCGGATTCAGCAACGTCAAAGTGCTGACTGAGATCCTAAACCCCTCAGAGCCTGAAAGACAATGTAGCTGTATTCGCTCCTTTCGGGGACAGTTGGAAGAGCACATCCATTAGATGAATCAAACAGCACACTGACTCCAAGCATCGCAGTGAAATCGACTTCTTGACAAGTGTTTATTATTTTTCTGCAATATCACATGGTTGCACTCAATATGTTAATTGCACTTAAATCAATTTCAATTGCATGCAAGTCTTGTCACCAGTAATCCAGATTCCAGCATCTGGCAGTCCTTGTTATGAAATTTCTAGAGAGCTTAGGAGCACCATTCCTGCTCATGTTCCTGAGACCCATGTCAAACTCATTCAGTAACACACACACACACACACACACACACACACACACACACGCACACACATACACACACACACCCCAGTTTGTTATTTGGCATTTTATGTTGACAACCAACTTGATGGTTTATCATGAGTTACATTAAGACTTTGCTTTGCATTATATTGATTGCTTGTGTGTACCAGGGACTGTCCTAAGCCCTCTCCATGCATTACGTTATATTTAACCTCACAAAAGTCTATTAGATAGTATGATGTTCATTTTTAAGTTAAGCAAAGTGACACAGCTTCAGGGAATACTGGTAACAGGTGAAGATACAGCCCATGGAACCTGGTCTACCTGGTGCAGCACCCAGATGCTTACCTGGCTCTCGCATAGCCCACCGACCAGTGTAAATTTAGAACAATGCATCTCCACAGGGGCACCGAACAGGCATTTTTGGTTGTCATGGCAGGAACGGTGCTATTGGCATCTAGTGGGTAGAGACCAGGGTTGCTGCCAAATATTGCCCAATACACAGTACAGTTCTTCCAGAACAAAGACTTATCTGGTCCAAAATGTCAGCAGTGCCAAGACTAAGAAACCTTGATATAGACCGAGTTCCCAAACCAGACTCTACCAGTTACCATCTTTGAGATGTTCAGCAAGTTCTTTAACCTCCCCACAAGTCACCTCCATCCTCCGTAACTGGCATCTGGATTAAAGAACACAATGCATGAAAGCAGCAGCACAGGGTCTGGCACAGAGTAGAATTCCAATACACTGAAACCAAAATTATTCTCCTTCTCATTCAGTTATGAGAATATAAGAATGATGATAATATGTGTATAGCAGTTTATTATTTCAAAATATTTTTCTCCTTTATTTCCTTGATAGGTAAAATCTAAAAGGACTCAAGATATGAAAGACTACCAGATGTCGTCTTTCTCCCTGATCAAAGTCCCAAGCCCTTGTTTGGCAAGCCGGCATGCTGTGGCAGAACTAATTGGTTTTTCCATACATAACTCTTGAAGGCCAGTCAAGGCTCACAATTATTGGGAGGAGAGAGGCTCAGGGAAGTTGACTAAGTACTTAAGCATTACGAGAAGTGAGTGGCAGAGCCTGGCCAGGAGCACAGGCAGACTCCTGCCCATTGCTCTTACTCCTGAGCAGCACTGCTAATGACTTAAGTCCGGGTGTTCAAAAAATGGCTTCGAACCTAACACCCCATGAAATGGGACTGCATTCCTGAGCTACAGGGATATCCCTGAAGTGAATATGTGTGCAGGAGGAACCTTTAATGATAATAATAATACACAGCTCAAATTATTGAGAAGTGAGGATGTGTATTGGCAACAGTTTTAGTAATTACATATATGATTTCGTTTATATCATTCATTTTTCACAACCCTAAGTGCTAGCTACTATGCTTAGATCTACGTTACCGATGAGAAAACTGAGGCTCAGAGAGTTTAAGCAATTGATGTCAGGTCACAGTCTCCATGATGCCCACACTCTTAACCTCAAAAGACACACACACTCCTGATCCTGGCCAATAAGTCACCTTCAGTGGCACTCAATGGCACTTTCTCCTTCACTGTGTTCACATAAAGTGAGTGTCCTAGTTGGGGAATCAAACTGATATTTCTGATCGTATAGGATGTGCTCCCACAGAACACAGCACACCTGAATAGCAGCCGTTCACACAGGTCTCAGAGGGCTCTATTTCTCCCATGCTACAGAGTGGGTTGTTCAGGAATAACTAGAAAAGAGGTGTGGGACAGGAGTGGGTATTCCAAGTGGAGGCTCTCTTTTTCCTGCTGCAGTTGACTGGGGGTGAGCAGACAAACACGTTTTCTAGTTGCAACTTTTGGGTGGGTCCTGTAACCGTGGAATGCTGAGGGATACATCCAGAATGGAGACTTCCTTGGCAGGACTCGGGTAAAGGCCCTTGTGTCTCAAATGGAGTGCGGCCTGCAGAGGCATTGCCTGGGGCATTGCCTGGGCTGGGGTAGTCCCCATTCTTCAGGACATGGATACATTTTTCATTTGGTAGTTTCACTTGGACAGCAAATCAGTAATTTGAGTGGATCTGGGACCATCTGGATGGGCCACCTTATGAAGTCACATTGCTTTGTGAATTCAGGTCACCTTCGCATTCAGAGGCCCCCTGATGTTGCAGTGACAGTAGCTAACTTTATATGCAGCATCTCCCTAACTGGGGTGAGTGAATCCCAAGTGGTCTGCACATCCCGATTTGAGCAATATTGGGGCAAAGAGAGCACACATGAACAGTGGGCAAACAGAATGGCATGCGAATCCTGACCCTGCCATTTACTAGCTGTGTGACTGGTCAAGTAGATTAGTTCCAGGGGACATCATAGCTTTGTTGTGATCATAAAATGAACATCTTTAAGGGAGTTAGCAAAGGGGAGGCTATGTGGTGAGAGCAGGAATCATTACTGTTGAAGAAGCCAAGGCTCAGAACACTGGACTTCCTCAGGGTTGAATGGTTAAGTACACAGGCTCTGGAGGCAGAATGCCTGGGTCGGTGTCCTGACTCTGGCATTGACTAGCTCTGTGATTATTTCCGATGTCATGGGCATTACAGGAGATTATGCCCATAAAATGCTTATTTGAATAATGCCTGCCAACAAGTACATACTCCATTAATGTTAATTAATAGTAGTGCTATCTAATGATTCAGGTATGACTTGAACCCAGTACTTAATTGATGATTCAGTGCAGGACCCCACTCCTCGTAGTTGATCCAATGTTTGTTCACTTAGCAACTGACCATGAGGCTGAAAGAAACCTTCAAGACGACCGTAAAGATAAAGATGTAGTCTCCACAGGAGGCTGTCCTCTGCTCAGCATGGTGAACATCTTCTGGCTCCGTCAGGGGAAGGATCTGACTTGCAGTCTTGTAGCTGTGCTAGTGGGTGCAGACCCAAGAGGTGAGGGTGTACCTGGACAGTGTCAGGCCCAGATGAAAACTCTCTGCTGTTTCCCAAGCAACAGTGAGGCAGGAGGCAGCTTCCCTCTTTGCATTAATTTACTCAAACATGACGGGAACCACATTAGGTCTGGTGATTACCTGAGTCTACAATTCATTCACTGAGCAAGCAGCATCACACTCAGAGCAGCCTGCATGCGATAATTAGTGGCATAATAATCGCCCCCTCTGCTGCCCAGTCAGGCATTATAAGGAAACAGTTAGGCTTTATTTCATATCACACCCTTATGGCAGTGCTCACACGGGGGCTCTTGCAAGGAAATTTTTGATTATTAAAATATAAGGCACAGGAGTTTAAAGAAACTCAACCCAAAGGAAGAGTTTCATGGAAGCTGGAGCCCCATCACCTGGACACGAGGATCTCACACTGTTTTCTGGGTGTTCGGAGAGGAATGAGACTTTCAAACCCTAGACATGTATGCATTCAGCCACTTGTTTATCGCAAACTGTGTTTTGAGTGCCTACCACAGTCCAGGCATGTGCTGTACCCTGGCGCTATCAGGTCAGCGAGAAAAATCTACACCCATCCCTGTCCTCAGGGACCTCACAGCAGAGTGCGGGAGACTCACAGTTAGATGCCACAGCACAGCCAGGAGAAGTGTTAGGAAGGAGAGGCATTCGATGATGCTATGAGAGAATTCACGAGGGGATGAGGCCAAGGTGAATGTGTCAGGGCTCTGTGACAAGGAAATGATGGAGATGAAAAGTGAGAGGTGGGTAAAGGTTAAGCAAGCAAAAGGGTGGAAAATGCCAACATGTGCCAAGACCCCCTGTTGTGGGGGTAGAGGGTACAGGGAGAGAAGAACAGGGTAGTACAGGTCAAACTGAGGGTTAAGACTCGGGAGCCTGAGTCATGCTTAAGATTGTTGTGCTCCACCTAAGAGCAGCAGAAAGCAGGCAAAGGTTGTACATAGAGTGAGCTCATGAGGACTTTAGTTCTGAAAGAACATTCTAGCTGCAGTGTGTGGAATAGACTGGGGTGAGGTTGGAGATGTATTAGCTTCATATTGCTGCTATAACAAATGATTGCATGCCACAGGTGATTTTCAAGGTGTCCAGAGATGTTGGCAACTCAGAGATGTAAGATGGTAGTGGTGGAGGTGTCCAGAAGTAGTCAGATTCAGGATATGTCTGGGAGGTAGAGTTGATGGGACCATTGATGCATTGGAATGAGCCAATGAGGGCACTGGAGGCATGGCATGGGTTGACAAAGGCATGGACTTAGGAACAAGCGCTGAGGGGCATGGTTTATCTTAGGCATGGGTAATG